GCTCTTTCGGGAATTCAGATTGTTTAGGTGTTCTCATTGTTCCAACATGAGTTCTTCTTCTTACCAAACCACTTCCAACCCCAGTTTGATATGATCTCGGTCTTCTGCCCTGCGCAATAGCTATCTGAGCTGAACTCCTTGTTAACAAGGGTGCACCAATACCGGCTAATATAGCGCCGATTCCTACTAGCGCTGGGTAAGTGTTCTCTCGTACTTTACGCGGTGATCTGTCAGTTGGGGATCCGGGGACCTTGTCGTCGCAGAAACTTTGATCTTGCCCAAAGACAATAGCTTGACACTTATTCAACACCCGCTTACATACTTCGAATGCCGGTGAGTTGGGATTTGAGGAAAGGTCTGATCTGTAAGCTTGCAGATACCACAAAGCCTATCAATAAAGCAGATATTATGTCTCAGTTGATTATTAACATCGCCATTATGTACGATCTGCGAATAATTGCACTTTACCAATACAGCCATGTGTGCCGATTTCTCGCATGCTTCGAGAATGAAGCATTCTAATGCAACTGATTCAGCTGTGCGAGTTATAAGTAAATGGCTTTATAAATGCACGAGCAAATAGCCGCGTTAATGTAATCATAAGTCAATGGGCGTCGAACAATGCTTTTGCCAAATGTAAATACATTGCAGGTGAATCAATTTAAAATAATTACCATAATTGGGGCAAGAAGAACTCAATTTCAGACGTAGGAAACTTCTTCAATTCGTTACATAGATAATGTTGGATGCCAACCGAATCAGGATACTTGAACAGATATGATATTGCAATCCAACTATTAAAAAATTCACTCTGAAACAGTCTTAACAAAAGTGACATTTTTTACTATTTAATGAGTATTTAGTTCGATGATGGAAATGTACAGAAGGGGTGTAAGCATTGCGAGAAATTGTATGACAGAAGTTGAAAATGAAAAGTGACTGAACTATCATTTATGTAATTGGTTGATCAAAAAGTAACTGTATCGTACACGTGATTCGGAAGTAAGGGATGAATGTGAAACCGAGCATATCCAAGTTTGGTAAACGTCCCTTTAATTAGTATATTTAGTATTACTCCTTAGAGTTTTAGAAAAGATTTGTAATTATGGAGATCAGTTACAACACTTGAAAGTCAAGGTACAGAACCAGTGGGATGCATCAAAAAGTCTCTAACATAAGGATGAAAATGTTTTTCGATCGATTAATTTTATGTCACTTTATTGCTTTGTAGAATCGACCAATAAACTACTTCAAAAACTTGCTTCAGAAAAACCTCGATGGAAACTTTACATTAAATTTAGTCTTGCATATCATATATGACATTGTCGAACGGGAGCGTATTAGTATGACTATTAACTCGGTTAGAGATTTAGATGTACCTTCGAAAGTGCGCGGTTCACCTCAGCGACATGCAAACTTAAACAAACAGTTAGTGACCTGTCCAATTGGGCTTTATCGCACTGACGAGTCTAACTCGGATCGTACACACTAATCCTAAATAACTAATTATTTGAGATCGAATACGATTTCTACCGCCGGATTACGTCAATGTGACTCGCTCAACCGTTCCGTTATACGAATTAATGCTTTTGAAATATATGGAGTTATTCAAGAAAAGAATAATTTAGAGTACATGAATACTCGTTTACTAAAAGATAAAGAATAAATAAGTACTAGTGTGTTACAAAAAAATGGCAAAAACACTTTTGATTGTTGTGCTATGATAGACGGAGTAATGAATAAGCTTTATACGTTGTTTAATAGCTTATGAGCAGAGGTTTTATTATCACAAATTTTGATTGAGTATTTCTTCACAAATACTTCTCATATTTAGTTTATGTTTCCATCTAACCAATTTCCACAACTTGATTAACATTTTATCAGAAATAAAATCTCATTCCTCCTACTATTACTATAAGCATATTAACTTTCCACACTTTTACTATTAGCAGGTCACTAATGGTCTTGTGCTGTGTAGTCAAATCTGACTGCAGAAAGACTAAGGTTGGACAAAATAAAAACAAAAAGTTAAAACTTTTTTTGACAGTTTAAAAATAATGTAAGTTTTATGTTACAACATAAAAAAAATGCAGAATGAAAGACATTAGATTGCATAATATATGTATTTAAAATTTTCATGTTTAAAACGTTATTTGCGAATTCTCACTGATGCTAAGCCTAATACTAATACTAAGCTACGCTGCTTTATTATTATATCTTTCAGCTCACTAATTAGTATTAGCACTGTTAATCTATTAATTTACCGCAGGAATTGCAAAACTTGTGGATGCCATTGAACACAATTACAAGATATTTTGCAGCAGAAAAAATAATCAGGTCGACTATGCTTGATATTGATTGACAGCCAGAAAAAGCGAATATGGTTCTCAAAAAGGAAACATGGACTTGCTTGGCCAACGGAAAGAATTTTAGAAGATTAGAAAGATAATCTGGACAGATCAGTCTGCAGTATCACAGTTTCAAAATCTGGGTGGAAGTGGTTTGGTAAGAAGAAGAACTCATGTTGGAACAATGAGAACACCTAAACAATCTGAATTCCCGAAAGAGC